GAATTTTCAATAATATACAGTTATTATTATTTTTTATCAAATAAGTATTGATCATTTTATTAAATATCGAAAAACAGTATAAAAAACAAACGAGTTTTAATATGTAGCTTTAATATTTAGGTTACAGAGCTGACAAAAAGCTATTTGTTTACAATTCTTTCAAAATAGTAAAGCTATCAACTTTGCTCAGCAAAATCTTTTGAAGAAAAAGAACACTTACAGCTATTACAATGGAAACATTTTATACAAAAAACGGGTCTGACATATGCAAAATGTTTCATTTTTTAAATGCCCTCCCCCTAGTCATCTAATCCAACTTACCATTAATATTTATCATTATGAATACTTCGGACAATTTTGTTATTCGATTTGACCAAAGTAATCAAATTAGATTTGTTTTGGACTGAGAGGGTTTTGAAAAATTTTCATTATTATTCTGCCCACCTTCCTTTCAATAAATTAGTCCAACACACAAAATTCCTAACCTGCATCATCACTCACATTAAATATAATTCACTAAATACGATTCTCAACTGGCTTCACTCATCGATCCCATTTAGGGAGCCTTCTTTGGCCCCTTACGCATTCCCTATGTCTTCTTCCAAGAATAGAACATTTCCAACGGCTTATTCACTTTCCAGTATTTGTCAAAGACCTGAAAAAACAAGATCTTTTACTAAATGAGTTTTTTAACATTCAAAATTCAATCACAGAATATTGACAATAAATACAAAAACTTTGTGTTGTGATACTGAACCATGTAGCGGTATGCATCAACTTCAATAGTTCATATCTAGTGAAAATGAGGCCCTAAATCAAAAGAAAGTAGTTCAAATGAACAAGATGTTTGCAACACTATAAAACATATGAGAATGCCACCAAGTGAAAATCCATTGACAATCAAACAAAACAGTGAATTTTCGATCACAAAAACTTATCCAGGCGACCAAATCTGGAAAATACAGAAGGAAGAAGGGTGAATAAAAACAAAATTGCATCTTGGAACGCTCAGAAAAAGGCTAGCGATGTCGAAGTTATTTCCAGTATTTACTGGTAATACCTCCGGCTCATCCTGGTTTGACCAGGATATCATCGTCTCTATTAATAGTTAGTTCTTGATGAGGTAGTTTTTAAACGTTCATAGTTCTTCGAAAAGTTTATTTCAGTAACAAATTGATCCTTAGAACCCTTCAAACATAACACTTCAGAAATACTAGCCAAAATTAAAAATAGTTAATAGAAAAATGTTACGCACACACGAGCACACACACATATTGAGGTTAGGTTTGGTTCACACAGGACAAAATGTCACATTTGAGATTAGAACTAACTAAAGGACTGATCACTCATATATCGAATCGTACAGGACTAAAGGTCACATTGGAGATTGGCGTTAGGTTAGGTTCACACAGGACAAAAGGTCATATTTGAGATTGAGTTTAATACACACAGAGGTACTGATCACTCATATATCAGATCATACAGGACTAAAGTCACATTGGAGATAGGTTAGGTTCACACAGGACAAAAGGTCACATTTGAGATTGAGGTTAGTACACACAGAAATAGTGATCACTCGTATATCAGATCATACAGGACTAAAGGTCACATTGGAGATTGGGGTAAGGTTAGGTTCACACAGGACAAAAGGTCACATTTGAGATTGAGGTTANGGAGCCAAGTCTGGCGAATATAGTGGATGTGGGAGCAATTCAAAATTCAATTCATGTAGTTCTGCCATTGTTTTGAACGACTTGTGACACTGCATTGTCTTGATGAAACAACATTTTTTTTCTTTGCCATATGCGGTCGTTTCTTTGCAATTTCGGCCTTCAAATGCTTCAATAACGCAATATGATATTCATTGCTGATGGTATTTCCCTTCTGAAGACAGTTGATGAATATTACACCACGCACATCCCAAAATACCGATGCCATAACCTTTCCAGCACATTGTTGTGCTTTCGAGCACTTTGGACGAGGTTCACTAATTGCTCTCCACTCAGATGACGATCGTTTTGATTCCGCAGTCAAGTGATGGATCCATGTTTCTTATAATCACATATCGAAGCAAAAACTCCGGTTTGTTGCGTTTAAACATGGCCAAACTCTGCTCAGATGGCTTTATATTGCATGAGCAATATAAAGCCATCAGTTAACTCACGCAACTTCACTTCTTAATCGTTCAAAATTATTTTGTACATTTTTTTATGTTTTCTGGTGTTACTGCCTCATTTGGACGTCCACTGCATATCATCGGCGTCTCTTCAATCACGTTTTAAATCAGCAAAGCAACGTTTAATAGTTGTTTCTGATAGAGAAGAATCTTTATAACACTTTTCGAGCATTGCTTCGCTTGAAAGGTATTTTTCCCATCAAGAAGCAGTGTTGAATTAAAACACGAAATTGTTTTTGATCCATTGTTTTGAAAATAACAAAAGTAGTGTCACTCTCAGCAGAATAACTCACAAACTTATGAGCAGGATATCATGAAATTTCAACAGCTTTTTTTTGAAGGTGAATGCAATAAGACTAGCGCCATCTGTGTGTTAGAGCCGAAACTTTTCAAGCCCAGGTAGTGAAATTCATTTGAAATAAAAATGCAGCAAAACTGCAGAAAAAAATGTGCTTCATTCACTTTGTGGCCAGTCCTAACATTTATGAATTATTGCAGAGCAACATCAAGACTTACTCCTCTAATTTCATAATATAGATAGATAAAAATAAACGTATGACTTTAGGGATAACCCAATTTAATCAAAATATTTTTACTTATTCACAAAAAACTGCTTCTCAAAGCATCTAGTAACTGAATAGTTTCATGCAATAAGTGGAATCTGAGTGAGAAAACATTAACAGAATAAAATATTGAAAGAGAAAGGTTGAAATCTCGACTTTTAAAAATATTCATATGGATGTCAATGACCTTTAAAAACAATTATAACCACCATAAAGCAATAGGAATATTGTACCGTTATTATGTAGATTTCAGATTGACAAATTTTTGGATAGAGAAAGGTTGAAATCTCGACTTTTAAAAATATTCATATGGATGTCAATGACCTTTAAAAACAATTATAACCACCATAAAGCAATAGGAATATTCTACCGTTATTATGTAGATTTCAGATTGACAAATTTTTGGATTGTGAAAGGCTGAACGGCCAAAAATATCAAGGAACATTGCCTTTTTTTTTATTTATTTATTTGGTTCCGCTCTTATATTACTTGTTCCTACCTTATCCAAAATTATTGAAAAAAATCATAAAAAGGCAGCTAATTTACTTTCTCTATAATAGTAACATATTGAGTCCACAGCTATATGGGTTTCAAAACAACAAAAATATAAGTGATGCAATTTTTAACTTTCTGCATAAGATTTATAGT